CGTTTGCGGTTACTTAGGACAATTTAGTAGGTTGGAACGGCCCGTTCCAATTTCGGAACGGCCCGTTCTGGGCTACTAAAATATAAAATATTTTTTCGTAAATAATTATTATTAAAATATTCATATTCATTAAAAATATCTAAAATACTTTATAAAACCCATTTAATTGGTTAAAATAATCATAAGAAATTAATCTCCATATATAAAAATAATAATAATAACAATTAATTATTACATTGGTAAAAATTTTCAGGATTTTACAAGGATGACTTAAATGAATTAATTTGTACAAGTTATACTAACAACATACATATACATTTCGGTAGTTTATTCATCAGAACTTCACAGTTAAGCGTGCTTGACCTAAAGTAGTACACGGATGAGTGACTTTTTGGAAAGTTTTCTAGAAATTGCACAAATAAGGATAAAACACGCTAAACAATGAAATATCGTGAAATAGAACCCTTGAGAGGTCAAATATGAGGGTTGATACATTAATAAATTTATTAAAATTTAAAAATTATAATTTTCACAAAAAATTCCTTCAGGGTAATTTCCCACGGATTTATTTATGACGGATATATCCGAAAGATAAGAAAATGAAGAAATGAATTTTAAAGAGTGAAAACGCTCTATTTATAGGCACTAGGCCGTGGCCAAAACGACCTGTTTCAAATCCGGAACGGCCCGTTCTGGGTTCCTTCGTCAACTAAAAAATATGCCACCGGAATGGCCCGTTCTGGACTTATTAATGCTATGTAAAAAATGTAACCGGAACTGCCCGTTCTTCATTCAGAACGGCCCGGTTCTGGTTTTGAAATTTTCTTATAAAATTGTGTACCGGAACAACCCGTTCTTAAATCGGAACGGCTCGTTCTGGTTTCAAATTTTTCTCATAAAACATGTCTTGGAATGGCCCGTTCCGATGCAAGATATATATGTTATTCTGGTAGTTTGGAACGGCCCGTTCTGGGCTACTAAAATATAAAATATTTTTTTTCGTAAATAATTATTATTAAAATATTCATATTCATTAAAAATATCTAAAATACTTTATAAAACCCATTTAATTGGTTAAAATAATCATAAGAAATTAATCTCCATATATAAAAATAATAATAATAACAATTAATTATTACATTGGTAAAAATTTTCAGGATGTTACAATTCTCCCCTCCTTATAGAAATTTCGTCCCCGAAATTACCTGAAGCAAATAAAAACGGATATGTTTCTTGCATATGACTTTCTAATTCCCACGTAGCACTTTCTTCAACATTTCCTCCCCAAACAACCTTGACTAAAGGAATTTCCTTACCTCTTAGTTGCTTTACCCTCTTATCCTCAATCCTCAAAGGTATAGTTTCATAGGTGAGGTTATCCTTTAACTGAATGTTGTCGGATTCAACAATATGAGATGGGTCATGAATGTATTTTCTAAGTTGGGAAACATGAAAGACATTATGAAGATTTGATAGGGATGGAGGTAACGCAATTTGGTAAGCTACATCACCAATTCTCTTAAGGACCTGGTAGGGACCAATGAATCGTGGAGTAAAAGACTTCCCTACACGAATTAAGCAAATGTGTACAACATTAAACCTCCCCACAAGATTAATCAAACTGTGGCTTTAACGCAACAACCCAAATTCATTAAGCATGAACATGTTTTGAAAACGTTTTAACACAGAGGTCCAATGAAAAAGAAGAAAGCGTAATAGAGATGCACAATAGCAATAAAATCTCAAACAGAGATTACAATCCGCTGAAGGAGCCAACCCCAAGGGTTTTAGCCTTCCATTAAAACAGAAATGAAAACGAAAATGCAAGGAAGAAGGAGAAGAAGAAGAAACTAGCAATCTGTATTCATTCAAACGAAAATGCAGTCTCCATTACAAACAGAAAAATAAACGTGAAGAACACAAAAAAACGTAAAGAAGAAAAAGCAAAAACGTGAAAAAACTTACGGGAAGAAGAAGACTCAAAACCTCAACGTGGTCACATCAAGTCTCTTAAGGTTGGTGGCTGCTAAGTCAGCCCTAACCTAGACCTAAGACCTAAAAACGCAAAATGGGCCCCCCTGCCCATGTGTCTGGCCCAAAATTACAAAAATGAGGTTAACAAAAATGTAAATATGTTGCTGATGTGGCGCTAACGTGGCAATGTGGTGCTGACATGACACTTTATCTCTTAAAGTCCAAAAATAATATCCAAGCCCAAAAATGATTCATAATTAACCTAGAAATAATTAATAGACAAAAATTAGACCAAGTGAATTGGAATTAATTAAAATTCGAATTACTGGACCAATGAAGCCCAAACAATGAAACTGTGCAATTACTAAGCGATTAAGCCTAAATCAATAATTAAAATAAGTACTAAAAAGATAAATAAATAAGGGAAAATAATGACTCATCAAATTCCCACACACTTAACCTTTTGCACTCCTGGGCAAAATCATGAAGCAGAGCAATGGACAAATCCAGAACAACAAAGAGAGTGACACAAAGGAGAAGATTAGAAACCAAAACAACAGCACAAAAACAGACAGAGTTACATACTCCTCAATGAATCCTGTGAAAAGAAAGGAATAGACAACATCCAACACACAAATAGTCAAAGCAACCAGATACCTATGAACATCATCCAAGTATTTCAAAACATGGCAAGAAAATTAGTTTGTTCAAGAGGTGAATCAAAAGCAACAAAATCTCACAAGATATGCATTGTATCACTATATCTCTCAAGTGTTTAGGCTACAGTATACTATCAAAGAACTCATGAAAAACAAGCAACAGATAGACTTGGCAAGCCTCTAAAATCAACACCCAACACACATGCACATAAGGATCAAAAGGTTTTTTTAGGGTTGTAACGAAGCCAAGGATAGGATAGAGGATAATATAAGGGATAAGTAACTACAAACCAGAGGAGCAATGGAGAATAAGTCAAAAATAAGCATAAGAAGAAAACCTAGAAATCTCTAATGATCGCTACAATAATCAATCCTCTTTCTCTTGCCTCAAACAACTTTTTTTTTTTTTTTTTGATTTTTTTTTTGATTTTTTTTTTGATTTTTTTAGAAGATTGTGAATAGTACACACGAAATTTTGAGATGAGATAAGACAAGATGCGCAGAGAAGTAAAAATGTACAGCATGAGGAACCAACTAGCCAATATATATCATCTAATGAAACATACACACACCCCCACACTTATTCAAGAACTTATTCCCAAAATAATTCCAAAGCTCCAAAACTCCATGAGGTTAAGGTAATCATGATTTTTCACTTAAGGCTTGTAATGAGCTTCAAACAAAGAAGGGGAAATAGGCTCAGCAGGGGTTATTAGAGGAATTAATTCAAGGTAGGCTTATTTGGCTAGAGGCTTATCAGAATCAAAATGCCATAATCCTTTCCAAACATGCATTGGACCAAGAAATATCAAACAGAGTCAAGCCAAGGATATTGTGCAAGCAATCAAGAGGTAAAACACACAAGAAAGACAGGGATTTCAATCCATAGAATATCAAGCAACTCATATCCAAGAGTGAAGTAAGTGCCTACAAACTATCAAAACCCAGAATTCAAAGAGAAACATGCAAAACTATACATAAAACCTAAACCAAAAATAACAAATAAACCCTAAAAGCATATAACCAAAATAGTTTTCCCCCACACTTAAATCACACATTGTCCCAATGTGGCACACACATAAGATCAGAGCAATTAGAAAAATCAACAGAATTAGACATGTGCAATAAAAGTAAAGAAGGAGAAAGAGAAAGAAAACTCCCTAAGTCATGGTGGTAGAGTAGCAGGGTCGAGCAGAGACATCTCCTCTATAGTTGCATTCAACAGGGAAGGATTGCTGAGGAAAGGCTTCAAACGGTGCCCATTAACTTTGAAGCTCTTATCTGTGGATTCACTTTTGATCTCAATTGTACCATAAGGAAAAACATTAGTAACAACAAAAGGTCCAATCCACTTAGAACGTAACTTCCCACCCATGAGACCCAGCCTTGAATTATACAGTAAAACTTTCTACCCAACCGTGAAGTCTTTTCTAGCTATCAAACTATCATGGAACTTTTTAGTTTTCTCCTTGTAGAACTTAGAGTTCTCATAGGCTTCGAGGCGGATCTCATCAAGCTCACTCAGTTGCAACTTTCTTTCCTCGCCACCCTGATCACTAGAAAAGTTGCAGGTCTTCACAGCCCAGTAGGCTCGGTGCTTTATCTCTACAGGAAGATGACATGTTTTGCCAAAGACAACCCAGTAAGGAGACATCCCTATGGGTGCTTTGTAAGCAGTCCTATGTGCCTAGAGAGCATCCTCCAACCTGCTACTTCAATCTTTCCTGTTGGGCTGCACAATCTTCTCCAAGATCCTCTTATTCTCCCTGTTTGAAATCTCGGCTTGCCCATTAGTTTAGGGGTGGTAAGGTGTAGAGATTCTATGAACAACCCCATACTTCCTAAGAAAGGCCTACATGGATCTGTTACAAAAATGGGTGCCTTGATCACTAACAATAGCTCTAGGTACTCCAAACCTACAAAATATGTTAGATCTAACAAAATCCACAACAACCTGAGCATCATTAGTTCTGGTGGCTTTGGCTTCCAACTATTTTGAAACATAATCAATAGCTAGGAGAATATATGAAAAACCAAAAGATACAGGAAAAGGACCCATGAAATCTATACCCCAAACATCAAAGACCTCATAGAACAACACGGGTTGCTAAGGCATCTACTGTCTCCAAGAAAGGGATCCTCTAGCTCTTTGGCACTTCTCACAAGTGCTACAAATTTTTCACGCATCCTTGAAGATGGTGGTCCAGTAGAAACCACAGTCAAGAACCTTGCAAGTTGTCCTTTGAATGCCAAGATGACCACCAGGTGCAGAAGAATGACAGAACTGTAGGACCGAATTAATCTCATGGTCTGGCAAGCATCTCCAGATCGACAGTTGAAACATGTTATTTCCTTGTCAGGACAGTTATAGTTCTCATGCCCACGTAGCCCACATTTCTTGCATTGACTAATAGGTGTAGAAACAGAGCCTCCTACACTAGTAGCACCACTTACAAAAGAATTTCTGGCAACAGATCTACTGTTAGCATAATTTCCTTGAATCTTGGCAGGAGCGGAGTAAGGCTTACTCTTACCCGGAGCACTAGAACTTGCAGCACGCATAGGACCTCCAGCTCCCTTGTAAAAAATAGCACGTGCACGGTTGTCACGGTCGTAGATTCTACTCTTGTTGACAAGCGTCGGGTAGTGATAAATCTCTTGATAATTGATTGTTGTCTTTATCTCAGGACTAAGGCCATTCACGAACTTAATGCATTTAGCCCTCTCACCACCCTCACCATGGTAATGAGTACAATAGCGAACCAAAGCATCAAATTTTGCAGCATACTCTGCCACTGTATCATTCCCTTGCTTCAACTCGAGAAATTCAACTTCCTTTTGACTCCTCACATCATCCAAAAAATACTTCTCAAGGAAGAGCCTCTTGAAGTTGTCCCAGTTCAATTGCACTCCTCCATCAATCATCCTTTAAAGTTCTCCTTCCCACCAAAAATGGGCATCAGCAGTCAACATGAAGGTAGCCAACCTCACCTTCTAAGCAAGAGGACACTCCATGGCATTGAAAATCTTTTCGATCTCCATTAGCCAATTCATCGCAACATCCGGGTCATATCCTCCTTTGAAACTAGGCGGATGATTTTGTTGAAATTGCTCCAACCAGTTAGGAGCGACTTCAGCCCTATTATTGTTATTCATAGCTTGTGCCAATGCTTGGAGGGCATAAGCAATTGCACGATCATTTCTACCAGCCATAATCTAAGAAAATAGTACACAATCAAATAAACAACAGACATAATCAATCATCACGCTAGCATAAATTTCACAATTAATTCATTTCATCATTCAACTGTCAAACAAGCACAGTAGACTCATAACTAACGGCCGATTGGATCGACCTGCTCTGATACCACTAAATGTGACACCCTCTACCCCGCATATCATAACACATAATAATAAAAATTTGAATAATATAACATTTTATAATTAAAATATAAAACGTGTTCTGCTAGAGAGTACGAAGAGTAGACTAGAGTACATGCCGGGTCACACCCTATGCGCACTCTCACTAGAAGGATATACTACCAGAGTCTCGTCGGGATAGCTAAGCCGCGCAAGATACATCCCATGCACACAATATGCGAGACTGGGACTTCCAAACCGAGCTATCCCCAAGGACTAATCCCCAAAGCTTTTACACTAGGGGGCCTTCCCTGGCGGTGTATTCCATATCTTACCCTTAAAACACTTATGCAAATGATGCATGTCAATCAAGACTCTATGCATTCTCATATCACATTATCATTTCCCATGGTCATATCACATCATCACATTCATCATCACATTTCATGTCTCATGTCTCAATCACATTTCACATTATCTCATCATATTCACAAAGCATCCACAGAGCACTTTCATTTATATCAAAACTCATTTATTTATAAAATTAAATACATATTTTTACATCTCATCATACAAGGAATATAACAGAACAATCAAAAATCAAAACAGAAAATATTTATATTTTGTCTATTTCTCATAGGATTTCCTGCAGGAACCCATAGAGCACTCTAAATCATATCAAAACATATTTATTCTCAAAATTAATCACATACCTACACATTACATTCAAGAAGAAATACAATAGAGCAATCAGAAATCAAAACAGAAAATATTTATATTTTGTCTATTTCTCATAGGGTTTCCCATAGGAACCCATAGAGCACTCTAAATCATACAATTAATTGCATATAAGAAAAATAATAAGCAAAACAGATACAATTGGGAAAAACCCCTCATGTACGAGCATACAAAAAAATATAGCAAACACAGGATTGGGGGCCAATCCCACTATCTAACATATATTCCCACACCCAGAGCAAGATTTCTCACTCCCCCCTTACCTCGATAAGCAGGAGCTGAATCTTGTTGGTCGCCCCCTCTAGGTTCCCCTTCGTCTTCAGAGAGAAAGGAGGAAAAAGATAAGAAAATGAAGAAATGAATTTTAAAGAGTAAAAACGCTCTATTAATAGGCACCAGGCTACGGCTAGAACGACCTGTTCCAAATCCAGAACGGCCCGTTCTAGGTTCCTTCGTCAACTCAAAAATATGCCACCGAAACGGCCCGTTCTGGATTTATTAATGCTATGTAAAAAATGTAACCGGAACAGCCCGTTCTTCATTTAGAACGGCCCGGTTCTGGATTCAAAATTTTCTTATAAAATCGTGTACTGGAACGGCCCGTTCTTAAATCAGAACGGCCAGTTCTGGTTTCAAATTTTTCTCATAAAAACATGTCTTGGAACTGCCCGTTTCTATGCAAGATTTATATGCTATTCTGGCAGTTTGGAACGGCCCATTCCAATTTCGTAATGGCCCATCGGAACGGCCCGTTCTGGGCTACTAAAATATAAAATATTTTTTCGTAAATAATTATTATTAAAATATTCATATTCATTAAAAATATCTAAAATACTTTATAAAACCCATTTAATTGGTTAAAATAATCATAAGAAATTAATCTCCATATATAAAAATAATAATAATAACAATTAATTATTACATTGGTAAAAATTTTCAGGATTTTACAAGGATGACTTAAATGAATTAATTTGTACAAGTTATACTAACAACATACATATACATTTCGGTAGTTTATTCATCAGAACTTCACAGTTAAGCGTGCTTGACCTAAAGTAGTACACGGATGAGTGACTTTTTGGAAAGTTTTCTAGAAATTGCACAAATAAGGATAAAACACGCTAAACAATGAAATATCGTGAAATAGAACCCTTGAGAGGTCAAATATGAGGGTTGATACATTAATAAATTTATTAAAATTTAAAAATTATAATTTTCACAAAAAATTCCTTCAGGGTAATTTCCCACGGATTTATTTATGACGGATATATCCGTGGGTAAATCCGTGGGTAATTACCCATAGATAAATCCATGGGAAAATCCGTCGGAAAGTTACCCACAGATAAAAATCTATCGGTAAATATTTTAGACGAGCAATTTACAGATGGATTAGTGTCCGTCGGTAATCCATCGGAAATGCACTATTACCCACAGATTTTTGGCATTTCCCACGGATTTTGGCTGTCTATAATAGCAAATTTTCTTGTTGTGTTTGGTGGCAAAATGTGAGGCTATAGGACAAGATAGTGAAAGGAAATTTACTTTGGATATAGATGGAGTGGTAAGACTTAGAGACCAAGTATGTGTATCTGGTGAACTTATGCTTAGGTGCTTGATCTTTGGAGAGGGTCATAGAAGTAAAGATAATATAGTAGTAGATTCCTTGAGTAGAAAGAATTTTCACCTATCGTCTTGGATGATTTAAGGGTTGGATATGATAGAGGAGTTTATAGACTTAAGCTTGACGTGTGAACTTATCCCTAGGAACATTAGATTGAGTATGTTGAACTGACTGATAAATTGATGGATGAGATTAGAGAAGCCCAAGACTTAGATCCTTTCTTAGTGAACCAAGTGGAGAAGATT